AGACAGGCATAAGATGGACCCACACAAAAAACTTCGAGGATCTGGACTTCGCCGATGATATATGTCTGGCTTCTCACAAACTGGAAGATATGCAAGTGAAAAGCATAACGTTGACAGAAAAAGCATCAAAGAAAGGACTTCACTTCAGGTGAACATAGAGAAAACGGAGGTGATGGAGATTCCTGGCCAACAACAACACCAACACAACACCAAAGACAAAATCACCTAGCATAAACGGGAGGAACCTAAAAGAAACAACCTCCTCCACCTACCCGCGTACCTGAGAAGCATCGTTTCAACTACAGGTGGAACCAGGGTACGGAAAACAAGACGAGCTTTCATTACTCTCAACTCTGTGTGGAGGTCAACAACACTCAGCATGCAAAATAAGATTCGGATTTTCAACTCCGATGTGAAGTCAGTCCTACTATACGGATGAAAGACTTAGCGCGTCATAAAGAGCACCTCAAACAAACTACAGACCTTTATCAACAGCTGTCTTCGCTCAAGATCAGATGGCCACCCAGAAAAGATCACCAACAGGGAGGGATCTCTGGCAATCAGCGAACCAACCCAGCAGGAACCGATTCTGCAACAAACAGGCAGGAAGAAATGGAGATGGATTGGCTGGCCATACTCTGAGGAAACAAACCATCAAGTGACATCACTAGACAAGCCATCTCTCGAGTGGAATCCGACCGAAAGGGAAGCGGTGAGTTGGTCGTCAATGAGATGGTGACTTGGAGGAGGTGATGTAAAGAGGAGATGAAAGCATGTGGGCAGACTTGGAGCCAGGTGAAAACGTTGACAGAGAACTGAATGCAGTGGAGACGCGCGGCGAAGCCTATGTTCCTCTATGTATCAAAGGAAATAATAATATTAATATAATAATCAACAAAGTGACAGAGCAGAAATCAGTAGGGCAGTACACACGCTGGTTAAATTTTTGAATCTCATCAGCTTTTTAAGAGTATTACAGTTTTGATGAATGAATACCACTCCATTCAGACATTAATGAAAACAAAACACACAGTTCAGAGAAGAGGATTTTGTCAGCGGCAAATTCATTTGCCTCTTAAACTGTACCATCAATATTTATATACTATTTTTGGTTCAACCAGTTTGTTTTTTGATTTTCGTCTGTAAGTCTTCGAGTTTGTGTGTGTGACTTATTGCCTTTCAGATTACAGGTATTCTGGAGATATGAATTACTTAAATTTCAAATTGTTAGATTTATTCATGAAATAAAGTCAGTTAGAAAGGGGACAATGACAACAAGGTATCAATCGATTTCTGTTTCACCCTAATTTGGAACTCTTCACAGTGCACACACACACACAATACCAGAGATCTAACCAGGGATTTACAATCTGAAAATCACCACAACTCTAATAAATTGAATACTAATCGTCAGCTCACTATTGGTTTCCGGATGGATGTACTGAAGCTGTTTTATTTAAAAGGCGATAGACTGGGGTGTACTACATCAAGCTGAAATGAATGACCGTCGAATGAATTGATGCGTGTGATACTGCATATCACGAGCTAATGAAAACATAACACTTAGTTCAGAGAAGAGACTGTTGTCGGTGGCGAATTCATTTTCCTCTTTAATTGTACAAGCTCACTTACACAATAGTTTTCATGAAATACAGTAGCAACAAAAGTGATGAGTTGTCACAATCATAGTTGTTAATATTCGTCAGTGCACAATAGGAGTTGAATAAGTGTACTAGAGTTCCTTTATAAGATGAATAATTTAATTAGTAAGTTGTGCATCATGAGAGTTATTAAGACGACAGTTGCAACGAAGAAAACTTTCTTTCCGGCGAAGTCAGCATCAATTAGGCTGTACATTCGTGTATTTATATCAAATGGATGGGAAAGTTCCAGAATAATTCCCGGTCAACGGTCGAATTAATAAAATTACAATTAGGAATTAGAATGCCATAATAAACAGGGGGCGAGACGGATAAAACTCCAACAAAGTTGCATCATAATAACTAAGAAGATTGACATTGTGCAATTAAGGATTAGAAATGTAGAAATAAACAAAAATAGACAGGATGTTTGGATTAAAAAACGAATGTGATGAATAATTGTTTATGCAATCAGGGGTTATATATGTAGAAATAGTAAAATGGCAAAATAAATAGGAAGTTCGTATATGAACATATGGTAGTGTAAACAGGGATTAAGAAAAACTTTAAAAAATAACATAAATAAACAGGAAGTTTAGGTAAGAAAGGCGATGGGATGGTCATTACTAAAAGAATTACCTGTTTATGATGACCATGGCAGGGAAAGGGGTTGAACTTATTTCTTTGGATACAAAGCGTGGCTTTGAGCTTTTGGATAACTAGTGCCTCGGCTATGCCCAGATGTCTTAATTTCACTTCCTTTGGATGGGTTTGATTGAATCTTGTATATTACTTTGAAGGATTTTTCGAATGGCGCTGAATGTCCTGAATTGACCAGATGTTTTGTCACTGAACTGTATACACGTTTTTGGTCTCCTTTTACTAGCCAGGATGGATAGTGTTCACGAGCGCGTTTTCCGAGTCGGCACATGGTACGGCCGATGTACTCAGCTTCACAAGAGCAAGTAAACTAGCATATGCACATTGAGGTGGCCCAATGCGATAGCTTGTCTTTCGCGTTCTGGATGAACATTTTCTTCTAGGAAAACGTCCATCGTAGGCTCGCGGCGAAGTATGTTTTCCTCAGCGATTTGGAGAGACGTTTACAAAGGATTTCTGCTTCAAAATCACCTTTAAATTCTAGATTAAGCAGAGGTATTTTCTTTGAAACGGATTGGAATTATTCGGAAGTCTTCTTAGATTTGAGATTCTTGTCTATGGACCTGGATGTGAAACGATTTTCCGTCAGGTTTTTTCTTTGATTACGCAGTCCTTCTTCAATCACTTCCTCGCTGCATATCTTCCGAATCCTCGAGGAAAGAGCGTATATCAGGTTCCTCTTTCTGCTTCCTGTTTATTCATGCTACTTTTTAAGTTTTTCTCAATCCCTGTTTACACTACCATATTTTCATATACGAACTTCCTATTTATTTTGCCATTTTACTATTTTTACATATATAACCCTGATTGCATAAACAATTATTCATCACATTCGTTTTTTTATCTAAACATCCTGTCTATTTTTGTTTATTTCTACATTTCTAATCCTTAATTGCACAATGTCAATCTTCTTAGTTATTATGATGCAACTTTGTTGGAGTTTTATCCGTCTCGTCCCCTGTTTATTATGGCATTTTAATTCCTAATTGTAATTTTATTAATTCGACCGTTGACCGGGAATTATTCTGGGACTTCTCATCCATTTTATATAAATACACGAATGTACAGCCTAATTGATGCTGACTTCGTCGAAAAGAAGGTTTTCTTCGCTGCAACTGTCTTCTTAGTAAGTTTTGATTAGGATGTACATAGAAGCGAAGGAGAATGTGGAATCATGTAGGAGTTGTAGAGAAGTACAAGAGTAATAAGGAGTTAGAAAAACAAACAAACAGACAAAAATCACGTGAGTAGAAATCAACAAGGTTATTACTGCGATAGTAGGAGTAGTTGAATAATAATTCCCTCCGATTTCTCTAATTGAATGAATAAAGTTTCCATAGTGCAAAGAAGACGAAGACTTATTGTCTTAGGCAAGTTATTCTTCACTCAGTAGATTACTATGAAGAATTTTTTATATGGAATGACCAATGTTGACAAGGTGTTCGGTTATCGCACTCCGTATAAGGACACTACTAACTAACCGCAACAACTCACTCTCGCGGGTGAGTCGCTTGAAACTGTTGATGAGTTTGTGTATCCGGTAGTTGTGTGAGTGCTGGCGAAGGGGTAACGGATGAGATTTCCAATCGCCTAATGAAGGCTAGGGTGGCATATATCAACTTCGGCCACCTATGGCGTCGTCGCGACGTTATCCTGGCTGTCATAGTTTGGGTATACAATACTTCGATGTGGGCTCTACGTCTAGAAAAACCTGGCCTCTCCGAGTAAGCTGAGGATTTTCGGCGACTCTGCGTGTTCAATCGTCGCCGTCCCCGCAGGACTGCTTGCGTTCAATGCACTACCACGTGAGTAATTCTGAGGTTCGGCGACTGCGTGTTTCAACACTGTGGAGATATGGTGACGAACAGATTTTTATTTGATGTTAACCAACGATCTCACTCAAATCATCTCAAAACTAAATCTCTCTATATGTCATTCTGAACAAGACCTGCGTGAACTGATTCAGTCCTATGGTGTTTATAAAGTAAATGGAATTGTGATGATAGGAAATCAATCGAATATCACCTTTATTGGCATCGGTTCCTCTTTAAGTCTTCCTTAATCATCTCATGTCCTATTGATTTCTGTGCAAAAATATTTCAGTTGACTTATTACGTAAAAAAAGATGAGAATTTCAAGCATGACTCAACCTCTTTTGTTACAATTTATCAATTCATGTATCCTGCCAACTGTCCTTTATTCTTCCCCATATTCTTGCCTGGTCTTCTCAAAACGTAGAACGTTGATGAGAGCTGTAAGTACAGTCAGTGGTGGTGTGTGTCTTTGACTCGACTAATTTGACATTGTTGTTGATAGGCACTTTAATTCTCGCTACGTCTGGTAACGGACGTCCTCTTAATTCACAACGTTCTCTTTACACCGCCTCAGCAGTGAATTCAGAAGAAGAAATTCTACAAGAATTCATGCCTTATACAGTACAACATAAGAACTCAACCATACCGTATATATAGCATGGGCTTTGTGTGTGTGAAGGAAGAGGCTAATGTCAGCAGAAAAAACTTACGAACTTTTTAAATTAACGAACATAAACAGGAAATTATAACCAGAATTATTATTATTATTACACGTATTACTTTTTAATCATTCATTATATTCCATCAACTTTCAGTTTTTGTGGCTTTTTTATTTTTTACTATTTTATGTATTAATATATATTTATAAATCGAGCTAAATTCTTACAATATGTACAAATGTGGGAAGCTCCATTCTGTTTGGAATAAAGTGACGATGTTGCTCGTTGTATTAGTGGTAGCATTACGTTTGTTTCAATCATCCTTCAAACTTTATCCCCTCCCAATAACCACCCCCACTGTTATCACTTTCACTCTTATTTTCCCGTGTATTAAGACAGCAATGCATCATCCAGTCATAAATGAACCTCAGTCATCATTGGGTCAATCGATATGTTTGTATACAAAGCAAGAAATAAGTAGTATATATAAGTAGCTACTAGTTAGCTCTCTTCCAAAATAAAAAAAAGCGAAAACAAAACAACTCACCGATAAATTGTTTCTAAATTGTTATCAATTTTCTGCAATTCATCAAATAACGATTTCTTTCTCTTCCACACGTAGACTTCATTCGCCAATTCAGGTATAATTAAATACGTCCGCCAACCGACAGTCTTCTTCGACTTCAATATATCACCATAAACATGATCACCAACATATAGGACATCTTTACCACGAGCACCAATTAAACTTGAGAAGACTTCACAAGAACCTAAGAAAATGTTACACACACAGGAAATATAATAAACAGGTGATTAAAAGGGTTACACGTAAACTTTATTCTCACCAGCAAACAAGTATTACTCAAAGCATTAGAAGATGAAATCACACCTATTTATTTAAATTATTTTGTTCAAAAATCTTAAACTGACTTCATTACAACTGGTAAATAGTGCTGTATTCCGTAAGATTTGAAAAACTGCTGAAATTTGCATTGAGGAATGTTGATAAAATTACATAAAACTCATGAGAAGGTCAGCAAAATGTTGAAAAACTCCACTTCGAATGAAGAAACAACAGAGTGTTCCTGATAATTTTCTAGTTTTTATACCTTCAACATTACTTATTTATATCTTGGAAGATTTCGGTAGATGAAATCTTCCATTGTCTACTACTACCACCAGCTAGATTGTAGTAAGATGGCCAGCTTTCCATCAGGAGTTAACAAATGGTCTTCGTCTAATGGTCCTAAACTAATTCCTTCTAAATGTCAGATTGTTAATTTCAGTTTCCACTATAAAAGAAAGTTAAATGGAGCTGTTAATTCCCATGACCGTTGTTAAATTGATGATAGTGAGGATATAAAAATCAAGTCTGACGCTAAGTATCTTGGATTAATTCTTTCTTCTGACCTATCCTGGTCTTCCCATATCTTAGCTATTTCTAAAAGAATATTTCGTCTGACTTTTTACATAACTCAACCCCTCCTCCTCTTATAGTTTGTCAACTCGTGCATCTTGTCTATTCTTCTTTACTGTTCACGCTTATTCTTTCCTGGATTGCTTAAAAAAGACAGTGACATACTTTGTAGGACTCTGACGACTGTCAGCAGGGCGAGCGGTATCCTATCCCACTGGACCATATCGTTGACATCGTCATTGATAGGCACCTGACTTCATTTAAGCTCTGTAATAACTGTTATTCTTTTTTTGTATTTCCCCTCATCACTCTGTGTCAGGAGACCATTGGATTCATTACTCTATAACATGCTGGAATTTCCATACTGTATCGACGACAATATTAGTGAATCGATAGCACAGAATGCTCACCGACCACGCATATGGTTTTGGGTTCGATCCGTGGCCGACGCACTCCTTCACCTAACTAAGTCAGAAATAAGACTGGTTAAGAAGGAAGGTTAAACGAGAGAGACTAGCACTGCCATCCTGTAAAAACAAACACCAATGCTAGTCAGACTACAAAGCTGCAACTTAAAGCCCAATCATTGTTCCACTTGAAAGGGTTACTGAAACTTTGACATTATTAGTTATGTTTTCTTATAAAATGTTAATAAACATTTGAAAAAGTTAAATTATCATTAACAGTTATTATTAGTGATAGATTCTGCATGAAATCTTATACACGCATATATGTGTTTGTGTGTGGACGAAAGTAGTTGACGAAGACACAAAACAGGCTTTACAACCTTTATTTTTTATAATGAACTTGAAAAGATGATGGGTGAAGATGTAACGGAATAACTGTTTTAAAATCCCGTTTGAACAGTTTAATGAAAGAAAATACTGATAATTATTTCGATATTTGAACTAACTTTGTAATTATTTTCCTCTTTCGGTATAGACTAAGTATCACTGTCCTAACGTTTGCATATCATCCTATTGACCTAATCCTTTATTATTTGTCTTTGTTTTCTTGTCTAATCGCCGAAGTCATGACCAGTAGGGCGCAATAGGTCGGGTGTGAGGACAAATACTCACCAACAACAACATTAGTTAGCGGTCGCGCTATGTCGTGAATTGGCAGAAGTTAGAATTCATCGGCTGGACATTGGGTCGTGTCCAAGTGACTCAATGGTCTACGAGTTAGCTCGCCTTGTGACCAGAAGGCCCTGGGTTCGAACCCTGGCGGTGGGTGCGTAATACTGAAGAGTCTTAAACTAGGACGAAACAGCTGTACAGTACACCCACCTGGTTTTCCAATTGTTCTCTAACTAACATCAGCTTATAATGAAATCCTGTAACCAATCAAACACATACTAACACTTGAACTTTATATCTTTGTGCTTGTGTAATGATGATGATAGTGTACTGTTTTACGATTGTACGATTTGTTTAAATGAAGTTAAGGTTAGTCAGAGGGGGATTTCGACTTTGGATCGTTTGCAGGTACTGTTTGGGGCATGATTATTTCTTGTTGATAAAGTTTTCATCCCACCTCCTGTTGAGAATACTCTTCCTGATTCCCAGGTATAGTTCTTTTTTTTAATTACAGCTTGATTCCACACTGTAATTTTGGTACAAGTATGGAATTTTCAGAATGGATATCGGTAGTCCAAATTTTTCAGGCCGACCATAGATATCAGGTGTGCGTCGGCAGCGGATCGAACCTCGGACCATGTGCATGGTCGGCGAGAGTCCTAACCACTGCGCCACCGACGCAAGATTGATTTTGGTTAAATAATTTTATCCTACAGTATTTGCTTTTCTATTTGAGAAACTATAGAAACTTTATAGTTGCCTAACGGTATTGTCGAGGTAATTTTGCCTTTTTATATATAATGGTTATTATTATTATGGTCAAACAGTACCACAGATTTTATCGCAGGTAAAACTGTCTTTTAATATAAATGTTTAAAACTTGGGCACTGTGGTAGTAAGTAATTCCATATTAGTTTGTTTATTAGATGTATCACACAGTGATGAAAAAGTATTATTCACTGGATGACACACTTTCGAACAAAATTTATTGTTTGTAATCATATCAATTATAATCACACAACTCCGAAACTTGAGTTTTATAGTTTTCTTTCTTCTCTCCTATTTGTCGTTGTTGGGGTAGTAAATTTTCCAGATATCTGGGACAGGTGTTGAATCATTCCTATTACATGCATTCTCTTCAGTTGATTTGATAAACAAAGCTTCTGTTATCAATCTCTTCCTCCACCCTGTGACATTAGATTTTAAAATTGTCATCTTATCCCATCCATCCTATTGTATGGTTGTGTGTAACTGCATGCAGTGCTAAAGGTTTGCAAACATAGCGATTGAAACGTTCACCCCCACCCAAAAGTATGGTGGAGGTATGTAGATGACACATTCACTGTACTTAGAACACAAAATATAGATAGATTTTTCGAACACATCAACTCGAAGGTAGAGGCAATTCAATTCACTTATGAATTGGAAAGTCAGGAAGGAGAACTTCCAATGTTAGATTGCAACGTAAAAAGGAAAGAAGATGGGAAGTTAAACACTAGCGTGTTTACAGGAAACCCACACATTCAAACATATATTTGGACTTCCTATCATCCCATCCTATCTGAGTAAGAATAGGATTGATGAAATGTTTAAGTGACAATAGGGGGCAAAAACTAAATAGTACCAAAGAAAATCTAAGACAAGAAGTGATACACATAAAAGAAGCCTTGAAACTTAATAATTACCTTGATAAATTAGTCAGGAAATATGTAGGGGAATGTAAAGATAAAATAAATAATGAGAGTAGTAATAATAATAATATTAATGACAACATGCATGTCAAATATGCGCAAGACAACACCAACAATAAGGAATCTAAATCATCAGTAGTCATTCCATACAAAGAAGGAACATCGGAAACCTTACGCAGAATTCCTAACAAGGCAGGAATAAAATCGGTTGGCATTCAAACCCACAAACTCAATTAGAAACAAGCTTTCTCGGTTAAACGACCAATCCTGTGGAACCAATTAAACAAAACAATTTAGTTGATCTAATACCCTGGTGAAATGATTGTCAGGTCAAATACATACGTCAAACTAGTAGAACAGGTGCTGTGAGTCAGACTAGCCGAACATAAAAACCTAGCAGCAAAATCTGGATTGGTTGACAGAAATAAGATAAGAAATCTAGAGAATAGGTCAGCTGCAGCACTGACTACATGCAGTTACACACAACCATACAATAGGATGGATGGGATAAGATGACAATTTTAAAATCTAATGTCACGGGGTGGAGGGAGAGATTGATAACGGAAGCTTTGTTTATCGAATCAACTAAAGAGAATGCATGTAATAGGAATGATTCAACACCTGTCCACTCGAATATCTGGAAAATTCTACTACCGTTACGAAGACAAATAGGAGAGGACAAGGACAACTTTAAAACTCAAGTTTCGAAGTCATGTGATTATAATTGACGATATGATTATGAACAATAAATTTTGTTCGAAAGTGTGTCATCCAGTGAGTAATACTGTTTCATCACTGTGTGATACATCTAATTCACAAACTAATTTGAAAAAATTGTCTTTTATTCTTTCGACAAGACAATAAGAAGACGTAATTTGTCTGAAACGTGTAATGTATTTGCGCAACACATTTCGACATCCTGATCACACACACACTTGTACTTATCATATACTGTTTTTTCAAGTATTGGTTTTGTAAGGATTTTTGTCTGATTGCATGAAGAATTGCATCACGAGCTGACATCAGTTAGAAAACCACTGGAAAACCTGGAAGTACTGGACAGCTGTTTCGTCCTAGTTTGGGGCTTTTCACAGTATGCACCCACCAGGGTTCGAACCCAGGACCTTCTCGGTACAAGGCGAGATGTTTTATCGAAGGCGAGAAGGTATGAATCGTTACAATACAGGTCAGATTGTGTGTAGGTCAAATTCACAAATAATGGGTAGGGAGATGACGCAAAGGTGTGGATAAGAAAGAAAAAACAAAGCAAAGAAGGGGTTGAATATATATTATGAAGTAAATTGATCATCGGTCCTAATTTCGATTACCAAGGCAGGTTTAAAGTAATAACAAATAACTTTTGGACACACAAGACAGACAGGTTGAAGTCTTTTATGACCAAGGCTTCAACGAACTTAAGTATGCGACGCAACCTTGTTTGATATATGGGCTTAAAGGTATTGTTCAAATCAACCTTATGACACTTATTACTGGTATAAGTATAAAACATGGGCACTGTGCTGGTAGAGTATAACTCCATTATGGATAAGATTTTATTTTGATAAATCACACACAGTGTTGTT